AAGTCCTACAACCCTAAGCCCTAAACTGCCCGTCCGCAGCGTGCTCAAGCAGCGCTGTGAGGACCTGGGTAGGAGCTTTGCCTTGGAAGCCTTGAGGGTTTTGTTTTTTCAAGATTTTTAGGGCTTTGGTAAGGTTTCTGTTTTAAAGAGTTCTTTAAATACGATAAAATTATAAGGCCTGGGCTAAGGCTTTAAGGGTCTTTTATCGGGTTTTGTGAGGTTTTCCATTGTACTTGGTGTTTTCCTAGCAAAGATCAAACTTGGGGCTATTTGGTTCTCCACCCCTTAAACAACCCTAGAATTTTTCTATAGAATAAAACCCGACAGCCCTCATGAAGGCATCGTTAGGAGCCATATCAAAAACCAAAAACCCTAAAGCCCTAANNCCCTAAACCCTAAAACCCGAAGACCTTGAACCCTAAAACCCCAAACCAAAAACCCAAAAAAACATCCGGGCCACTCCTTCGTGCCCAAACTGGGCTGCGGCATGCAGAGGTCGAGCCCCAGTGTCTGTGCGGCCTCGGTTTTGGGTTTAGGAGTTGGGCGGCTTTGGGGGTTGGGATTAACAGTTTAGGGCTAGAGTGGTTTAGGGTTTAGGGATTTAGGCTTTAGGTGGTTCGGGCTTTTAGATTTTAAGGTGTATCTCAGGGATGTTTATGGGCTTCTATAATGACTTCTGTGGGGTTCTCCTGGTTTCACTCAAAATAGGAAGCACTGCTGAGGTACTGTGCAGGGTTTCTAGTTTGGGGCGTTTTTCGAGTTAGGCTTTAAGCCTTTCGGGATAAAGGCATGGGCTCTCAGAGTGTAGGGTTGGGGATTTAGGTTTTACGGCTTACGGTCGAAGTGTTGTGTTCAACGTATGCGATTTTGCAGGGGGTGTATAGTATTTTAGTGTTGATGCCCTCGCAGTGTAGCAGAAGTTTACAAGCATGTTGCAGCGCAGCGGTGTCGCAAGCACGAGACAACGAGTTTCATGAGCCCCCCGACCTTTGTCACGTTTGGCTCCGACCTCCAACAGCATGCGCACAACAGACTCGTGGCCATTCCTGAGATGGCAGCGAAGACATAGCCGAAATCTTGGGTTTGAGGGCTGCATTTTCGTCAGAGTTTTAGAAACTTAGCGATTGAGCCCGCGAATTAATTACGGGGCCTGAGCAATTTCGACAACGGGCTCTCAAACCCAAAACCCCAAAACCCTAAACCCTAAACCCCTAGAGGGCCTCTACTTTAAACCCTAAATGCTGAACCCTAAGAACGTCGGGGCTCTATTATACTGTATACTATATTATAAACCCTAAACCCTGAACCCTGAACCGCGACTATACTATATTACGTTCATTAACTGGGCTCTTAAGGAATTATATATTATACTATATTCCATTCTACTAAAACATATAACATTATATTAACCGGGCTCTCAAGGAAGGCTTGGATGGTGCTTTGTGGGAGGTCTCTGCGTCGAAGGGGCTGCTACTTAGGGCCCGGCCATGTGCCGAAAAACTCCAGAACTACGAAAATCTCCGTTTTTAGGGTTTAGGGGTTTAGGGCTTTGGGGTTTTAGGGTTTAGGGCTTTAGGGTTTGAGGGTTTTGGGGCTTTAGGGTTTTAGGGCTTTAGGGCTCTAGGGTTTAGGGATTAGGGTTTAGGGTGTAACTAGTTTCTTGAGTAGTAAGGTTAAGGGCTTCCTGAAACTCTTGATAGGCTTCCACCACATATCCCGATTTATCTTCGTCTATGACTAAACGGCTTAAACCATGTAGCTGATTTTGTCTTAATTAGTATATGACGACTTTCTGGTTCGGTCCTTCAAAATGGTCCCCTCCGGGCAAAGCATTTCGGTCAAAACCTTGAAAATCTAGAAGTATTTAAGTATAAGAGGTCCGGAAACGGGAAAAAAGGTCTGGAAAGACAAGGATCTGAGCTGCCACGTACAAAGGTGTGGCCCCATGATCAAGAGCGACTGTGTCTGTATCTGCGCCATAGTCTGCCAAGACCTTCACCACTTCTCGATACCCTTTCTGTGCCGCGATATACAGCGGAGTCGCCCCACTGTCGTACCGCGGCTGCTCGAGTGCAGCATCTGCGTCCAGTAAAACGCGCACCACCTCTGCAAAGCCGCGCTGCGCTGCAGCGAAAAGAGGAGTCACACCATCTTGTCGCCGCGCCTCATTCCTGAGTGCAGGTTAGGAAGGAAAAACATAAGGACACTATTTGTGGATACCTTGCTTTAATACCTTAGGGGCCGAGTACCTTAGCCCAAAAAAGGTTAACCTTTTGAACTAAAATGGGTGTATATAAGCCCCAAAAGGTTAAAGGCTACCTACTCAGCCCCTAAGAGACTAAGTACCGGGAACCGATGTGAAGCAAACAGGATCCCTAACGTTGACCAAGACTCGTTGCCGCCCCGAACTCAAGCAACACCTCGGAGATTACTGTTCATGAGGGTCTCTTCTGGTATGTCAGTATTTTATTGGGATCTTTTGAATAGGCCATCAAGGGGAAATTTGGAAATTTCTAGGGACGCCTATAAAGATGTAGAAGAGCAGAGCCCTATAACCTAATTGATCTCAGTCTTAGGGATGTATAGTGAAGTCCTCTTACATCCCCGTAAACAAAAGGCTTGTGGGCAACAGGTGGACTTTAGAAGAGCCCGCACCTGCACAACATCGATGTGCCCTTTCTGCGCTGCAGCAAACAGGGGCGAGTCACCGTTGATTGTCTCAACCTGTAGACGGTATGTTCGCGAGAGAAGTTAGCTTAATTCAGCAATAAGAGCGGTATGGGGTTTTTCGCAAACAAGTGGGGATTGTACGGGCGTTGGGGTGAAGAAGTCGCGTTTAGGCTACCATGGCCACTCGAATTGGGGATGAGCGTGCTACACAGCTCGTGTGGCTTTGACTCGGGATCTTCGTCAGGACTTTAGGAGCTTCATGTAAGTTACCATACTCAGGAAGGCACCGCTATGTGAGCCTGTTCTGGTGCCTCAGGCTTCGCTCAACCTTTGTAGTGTAGGAGTAGGAGTTGTTCCACAGAAAAGGCAGTACAGGCTCAGCACAACATTCGATGAAGGAGCACAGCATACTTCAAATCAGATAAGGGTCCCTGTCCAGCCTGAGGTCTCTGTGTAAAGTCTGAGAAATCTCTCAACAATCCAATGCCTTAAATTAGAAATGTTCCTGTCAAGAGCCCTTTCAGGACCCGAAGCCAAACAGGGTGGAGGATCTAGCTGTTCAGCTTGAGGGCTTCGGGTTAAACCTCCAACGTCCGACGACTGCCAATGCCCATCTATGCAGTCCATGTAAGCCGATACCCTCAGAGTTCCAGGTGCCGAACAAGTAGGGACTTTGGACTCCAAGCAGTAGGACATTTGCAGCATAGGACCATTAGGTACTTGGAGCGTTATGTCTTAAGCCCTGAGCCCATCCGCAAGCTTCCCCAGAACTTACATGGAACCCCCCCATAAACTTACAGCCCCTAAACCCCAAACCCTAAACCCCTAGGCCCTAAACCCCTAAACCCTTTACAGTAGAAGCCCCGAAGCCACACTGCGGGCCTGAGACCTCCCAAGCCAAACTCGGAATCCGAAGCCCTCGCAAACCCCACAAAAGCCCGTCCTCCGCACCCCAAATGGGTAGTCCTCTTTTAATTAGGGTCCCTTTTTAGGGTCCT